CGAGACGAATCGATGAAGCTACGGGAGAAAGACGTCGGTGGCGGCGTTGCGCGCGTACGACGGCGCGGTGCCGGCGACGTCTACCCACGGCGAGAGCAAGATGGCCCCCACCGGGGGCGGCAAGTTGGCGCGAACAATGTGCTGGAGCAGCAGCGCTGCGAGGTTTCCGCCCGCCGAGTCACCCACGACAAGGATCGGGCCGCTCGTCTCGGCGCGCAGCCACGCATACGCCTATCCATATTTCGTTTATAACGGGATGGAAAATGTGAACGATGGTCGACCGAGATGGTTTGCTGAAGCTGGTGCGGGTACTTGAACTCGGGTGCGAGGTCGTACTCGAGGCTAAAGACCCGCGCGTCAATGGCCTTGGCACGTAGCGCTTGGAGGAGTGGCTGGATGATATCGCAGCTCTGCGTCGTGGCCGACCCGACGACAAATCTAGCAAAATGGACAAGTCGTCGTTGCATAGCGCGTGGCTGCAACCGACCCGCCGCCGTGGATGTAAAGGATCGTAATGTCGTGATCCGAGCCTTTCTTGCTCGGGCGACCATCGTACCACAAGCCTAGTCATATGCATACATCGTGGCATCGTCCAGAGAGGACATGCGACGGACGTGCCTTGGACGTTTGGGGTATCGACGACGGACGTAGGCCTATAGCAGCAATTCTTACGCGCTACATAATGGATCGATGGTATACCGGAAGACGAGGCGCTGGAGATGGCCGTAGACGTTAAAGTTAAAGCGGACGCAGCCATGGGCCAGCGCAGTTTGCGACCGAAGCACGCGCGCCACAAGCGCGTCAAAGAAACGCTGGTCGGGGTCGCGCGGGCAGCAAAGCACGAGCAGCGGCGCCACGAGGCCATGGACCACGAGCCACACGAGCGACGCGATGTTGGCGAGCAGTGCCATGGTCCGAAATGTCAAAGTGCAAGTCAACTCGTCATCCGGATGTTGCGAACCAGCGTATTTGCCATCGCAAAACAGTGTTTGCGTCCCGTGTATCCACAGTGAAACAGCGCACGCAACAGCGCAAGCTTGACCCCTCACTTTAGCACGTAGTTCGATGTACTATTTGTAGCCAGCCTCATTGTTCGCCGTGTTGTGCAACCATGGTAGAATCTCCAATGAAGTACATTCTCGAGAATACTCGCTCAAAACAGTGTATTCGAGGTCATACAGCATATATACGATAAACATCGCCTGGCTTCTTAGCGCAGCAAGTCTTCCAGCGACCGTTCAATGTCACCAAGGTCGTGAGCGTACGAAGCGGGCATGTCGACGCACTTGCGCAAATCGTGCATGTCTGCGAGCTCGTCCTGGCAGTCGGCAAAGATGTACTCGCGCAGCGGCAAATGTACCGTCACATGCGGCGTCGCCCACGCTGGAAAGACCTTTTCAAAGTCCTTGAAGCGCGACGACTTGCCGCGGTACTTCATCCAGCGGCCTTGGACCACCGACTGTGCACAGCTGTATGGAGATAGCTCCTCTGTCGACGACTTATAGGCACCAACAAGCCCCGACGGCTGGTGTGGCGCGTCGTGCAGTCGATCGTATACGCTCTTCGAAGCGTGGCCCAAAGCTTTCGTGCAGGGGCATTGACACCACGGACACGGCTCGCCGCAGCGCGGCACAATGCCATCGACCGCGCCGTACGCTTCGTCGCGAATGAGATCGAGGGCGCTGTCCGCCATCTCGGCACTCCACACCGAGCACGGCCGCAACAAGATCGCGAGCTTGTCGACGTGGCCCAACAGCGTTGCTGGCACGTTGAGTGCACTTCCCTTCGTACTGTCACAAGAGAAGATGGACGGCCCTCGATCGTCACAGTCAAAGACGCCACTGGAGATCGCCGGCAGACTCGTCACCATGACACTCGTCCCGCTGCGCTTGAGGTGGCGCTGCAGCGACAGACGCAGTGCGCACACAAACCGCGCGCTTCGTTCATCGGATGCAGCCTCGGCCTCGGCTGCAGCGCAAAGGATACTCTGCTTGACGTCGCGCACAAGCTTCTCGGCAACGTCAAGGTAGCACACCTCGACTTGGGCGCGAATGCGGCGCGTGGTAACCTCCATGGTATGCTCCGCAGGCGCTTGGAGGTACTCGAGCACC